TTTCTTTCCTAACTTTGTTATTTTGGAACATAGTCTATTTTCATTTCCTGTGCAAAGCATGGTAATACGAATCAGTGTAATGTTTTGGCTTATCTTCTGATTACTTTGGACAATCTGGAAGCAGAGGAGGTTGGCTTCCTCATTGCTGTAAAGTGATGAAACAACTTCATGCTCATTGTGAGACCTTGCAAAGACTAGGCTGCTGATGACTTTAACCATAAGCTATCATTTCCAATAACATTAGTATCTCTGTTATGGCAGACAACAAGCAAGCACTTGAGATGAGCCCAAGGAACTGCTCTAGGCACACTAAAAGAATCTGTCTTCATCTCTGCGTTGCCATTACTGCATGTACAGCTTTGGATTGGCTCTTTTGAGGAATCTTAAGTGGGACAAGGCCTGTGAGGAGAGTGCTAGAACACAGTGGCAGTGTGCATGTGGATTGAGGGTGACCTAGAGAAAGGCAGGTAGATATGCAAAGATGGATAGTCCAAGAGCATAGTCCAGTGCTGCAGTGGAGCCAGGGCTTGCAGGGTTGAAGCACCTGGGCTTTTTAATTAGCAGGCATATATCTGCCACCCAATGAGATTTCCCTGTTCCCTCTGAACTAGCCTGAACTCCTATAAGAGCTGGTTGAAAGATAGATTTCCCAAGCATCAATATATTATTTTGACATCCTTGTTGGTATACAAAGTATTTCAAGGTGGCCTGGTGCTGAATGGCCAATTAAAATTCACCAACTTTACCAAAACAAACAACAAACAAACTTATTTGTAGAGATGAAAAATGCTAGAACTGATTTGCTTATATGAATCAACACAGCTGCCTGTACTGAACTCTTTTTGGATATGTAGGTATGTTTGATAAGTACCTAAGCTGCAAACATTACCACTTTTACCACTGGCTCACTTGGTGGACCAAAGGAAGGTAGGCTGAACCCCCACCTAGTTGCAGTACTAATGCAGGCCCTTGTAAGATAGTGGATATATGAGCAAGCATTCTTAAGATGGTGCAGAATTTTCCCTATACATGTTGTTTCAGAACACAATTTTCTGGTTTTGATTCACGGTGCTCTATAGAACATATACACATAATGTAAGTACTGCAGTCTTAAGCTGCAACAACAGTGTAGCCTAAAACTGGATTGTCCTGTTGAAACACTGAAATTACTTATTCAGTGCAATGAATAGTGAAGTTAGTCAGACTGGCTTAGCAAATGGAAGGCTCCTTAAGGTCAATGGGACAATGTTGGGGTATGTGGTTTCAGAATTGTAACCATGTAATTAAATTTCCAAAGTGACTTTGACTCAACATCTATTTGTCAGAACCACAATGGTAAAGCAAGCTAGCCATCTCTGCACACAAGTGATGGTTTCTTCTAATACCCATCCTAGATTTTTGCTCAAGGAACTCAGAGAAGGAAAGAAATGGGAGGTCAAAAAACGTCCAGAACCACATAAAATCAGGCTGGGAACCTCATGCAGTCCTCACAGGTTACCTATTTCCCTCTAATTGTTCTGAAATACTTATTGGGACTGAGGTGATTATGGACGGAAGCATTACTACATTGAAAAACAAATGAAACAGAGTCTTGGGGATTGATAATAGAAGAATTAACTTTGTCTATTGCTACTAAAGTGTGCGAAAGTCATTTTAAAAGATTGTAGAAATGGTATATGACATTAGTGAAGCTAAACAAAATGCAAATTAGGCTAAAACTTTCCTGCTGGAGATACCAATATCTAAATACAGGTCAGTATGAAAAACAAAGGCCATGGGGTAGGTGAATAAATAGCTGAATATTTCTGAATATTACCTGAATATTTTTGAGGTGAAAAACTGCCTTTTAATCCATTGATTTACTGGTTTATATATGAAAGAAGAAGATATAGAAAAGGCTTAGCAGAATATTTTTCTTTAATAGTTACAGCAAAAATAGAGCTTTGCTTATAAATGGAAAATGGTAAAAGGTCCAATGATAGAAGATTGGTTATCAAGGATCTGGTGGTTATCAAGGATTTGGTTCACATTGCATACAGTTAAAATGACTCCTTTATTCTGGTATGGACAGAAGAGAAAAAAGGAACAATTTAGATGTATTTGTGGACAGCTGGAATTTAATTTGGTGACTATGGAATGTCCCTTGGAATCATGGGTTTTTAATTGGATTCTTTTGCTTATATGGCTATTATTATATTCAAATTATGGCCTTTTAGTTCACAGATTGTGTCAAATTGTGCCAAGAGGTACTTAAAATACTGTGCAAATTGTAGAAGACAATTATGTGCTGCAAAAACTACAAGCAAAGTTAACTTGTTGATAGTTCATTTATACTATGACTGTACATGTCTACTCAGAAGCGGGCCTGTCTGAGTCACTAACCCATTATCCCCAGGAATATGCATATAAGAGTGCAGCCTTTATTTCCCATGGCATCATGACACAGAAGTAATTGCATCTGCATTTATTCTGATTGTTGCTTTCCTTTAGGCTCCCATTGTCTTTGTATCCTGAAGCAGTTTTAGCATGTAATATCCTCTGACTTCTTGTCTTTTTATAGGAAACCTGAGGAGATCCTCAATATTGCATTTGACAACCCACTTTATGAGGCTCAGAGTGTAAAGGTAGGTGAAAACAGCCTGTCATACACATTTGAAAGCGGATGATATAAAGCTGCAATCGTTTCCCTTGTATATTGCCCATCAAAGGAAGTGAGAGTATCCCTTGGTGAATGCATTCAAATGAAGAATACAAGTTTTACAACAGTACAGCATTCTTACAGGAGCTGAGGAAAGATTTCTATTACAACATACTCTCAGCATGCTGATAAACTCCACTTTGTAGTCATTTCGGTGCTAAGAATATCTGCAGCCCCTGTTGCTACTTTTGCTGAAGGCTGGTAAAATCTGAGAGATGCTGGCATGTGTTGCCAGTCACATTGTTTTCTGGAAACAGTGGTGGTGAACCAGCAGGCACAGCTGCTGTGCAGCCTCTGAGCTTCCACCAGGTTCACTGTGCATCCCAGGGACAGAGCAGCTCGGTTTGCATGCTGAGGGCTTCAAGCTTAAATCCCTGGCATCTCAGGTGTTGGGAAAGCAGTCCTGGGAAAATGACTGTCAGCGAGGGCAGGCAGTACTGGACTAAATGCATGGGTAGGCTGACCTGGTATGGAAGCTGCCTGTGTGTCCATTTGAATGCATGGAGATGATGCAAGTGCTCTGCCTGAAGCTGGGAATTCCACCATGGACTCCATGAGCACCAGTATGCTCACAGATGCCTCTCTTGGTAACTACAAGGCTTCCTGTCCCTCCTGATTATTTAGGGTTATTTCTTCAAATCTATTTTTGAACAGTGTGTTTATCATGCTGCAGAGTCCTCCAAAATGGTGCCCTCCAGTTTTTATTTGGGTTCCACAGAATGTTTTTGTGTTTTGGAGCTCAAACCCCACCTCTGCCTTGAACTTGAGTTCTTGAGCAAGGTGCTCTTCTTTTAGTTGACTTTCTGGGAAATGAGCATTTTGCGACTGGCTGTTCCCACCAAGGCAACCATGAGTAAGCCCACACTCATGGGTCGTCATTTTGTGAGTACACACACTCTGGGAAATCCCATTGTGCCCTCCAACACAAAAAGATTGGGGAATCTGTTGGCCACTGGGAGAAAGCACAAGTGGCTTCATTCAGCATTCAGTTTACTCTTTCAACTCTCCTGAATTGTCAGAAGCATGAGATGCAGGGAGGGAAACATGCTCTTTAATGCCATAGTCTCAGATTGCACAACAGTAAAGCTGCCCTGAGAGCAAACCCAATTTAGCAGAAATTGTTCTCTTTGTTTTGAGTGTTTTGAAGCCTGTTTGCTGAGGAAACATTCAAGAGTTTGTTGTTCTTATACAAACCCTACAAATGGAATTAAGAATCCATTTGGTACACATTATTTTCATGCTTCATAAAAAGGAGCCAAATGACTCTGTGGGCCAGAAATTTGATTCTATGTTAAACCTCAATGATATTCTCCCGATTGCACTTATAAATTATTTTGCAATTGTCTTATGATAGCTATTAGGACTATTGACTAAAACAACTAATCAAAGGGGCTTTATCCAGAATGATTTTGAATCAAAGAAGCAAATTAAGCCCATTCCATCCTGTCTGCCCAGCTCTGATCAGCATGGCAATGCAGGGTTGAAGTGGCAAATAAGATATCCTTCATCTTTTTTGAATATGTGATAGGATTTCTCAGGCTCTTAAGTAAAATTAGACATGGTGTGTCACTTACTTTCAGTAAAGGGCTCCTCACATCTAATTGGAGGTCTAATTCATTTGCTTGCAATTTTGTCATCCACTTGTAAGAGGCCTGAGTTGGAAACATCCCTGCCCATCTCAGTTGTGCACTCCCACTGGGTTCAGGCAGAACCAAATGGCACTCATTCAGTGGCAGTTTGAAAATCAGGAGTACGATGCTGCCAGAAGTGGTCTTTTCTGCACAGATAAGGGAGCCTAAGGTGTTCCGATCAAAATCCCATGTGTCTGCCATAAGACAAAACACATGAAAACATTTGAAATTTACTGAGCCCAATCTAGACAAAAGGATATGCTTACATTTCGTTATAAGTGATGCATTTTAAGAACTGAGCTGGGAGTTGAATCCCGACCATGCCTTTTTGGAATAAGATCCACTGAAGAAAGTGGGAGTCCTAACTCAGCATGCATAAGTTTAGGCTGCCTTCACCACCTAGTACCTTTCTTCCAAACTGTATCTCTTGTTTAATAAATCTGGAAGAGCGTCTCTCTCCCCCGCCTCCCCCTCTACTCTGTGTCTGTGTTGTGTGTTTAAGAAAATGGTATGTATCAGGGAGAGAACTCAAAGTGTCACAGCATTTCTGATAGGAAAACAACGATGTAGCTCTAAGCATTTGTGCTAATGTACCTGCCTGCCTAGGGTTGGCACAGCAATCAGCAGCATATTTAGGAATGAGACATTGCCATAGCTGTTTGGATGCCCCATTCTAAGCACCCTATCCTAAGGATGTAAGAAGAGCTATGCTAGATTTGGTCACATGCATTGTATGAACTATTAATAATAATGGTTGCTGTTACATGCCACAAAGTCATCTCTGGCTTATGGAGACCTACATGAACACCTCTAAAATGTCCTGTCCTGGACAGCCCTGCTTAGATCCTGCCAACTCAAGGCTGTGATTTCCTCTATGGAACTGATCCATTTCATAGTTGGAATAATATTTATACATTGAATACTATTTGTGCATTGTCTCAAATGTCACTTAAAGTCATCTTAGTGGCTGTCAATACATCTTATGGCAGGAAATTCCATATTTAAGTATGCACTACCTGAAGAACTATTTCACTTTGTACTGAACCTCCAACTATTTCAGTTTGTTTGTCCTGAATCTCTAATATAAATGGAGCAAGGTAGCTGGAGTCAATCCCAGTCAAGGAAAAGAGGAAGATGAAACTTTTGAAAAGCAAATTGCCAGTATTTCAAGAAGGCATGATGTCATAGTTACAGGGGACTTAATTTCCCTGATATCTGTTGGAGAAAAATTCTGCCCAGCATGGCCCCTCCAAGAAATTCCTAACTTGTGTCAAAATCCCAGAATCTCAATTTGGGAAGAGAAAATAAAACTTTCGGTTTGTGGGAAAGATCAAGCGTTCAGACCATCTTGGCTTTATTGCATTACCCAGGTTCCCCGCAGGTCCATACTCACAATAATGCATTACCGAGCAGGCAGAGGTAAACTCTGCTGCAAAGCTTCAACACCATTACAGGGTATTTATACCCTCCCAGTCAAGTCACAGGTACAGGGCAATTGATGACAGAATGCAGAGATTACAATAAAATTCTGAGGTCATCACATACAGAACAGATAAAGGAATGTCAGTCAATCATACAGTGATAATAAGATTACAATATTTCTAATTGCAGTGTATTGACATTTTAGTTGAGTAACTTGAACCCATCTCCAGGTCTGCTTAGACATGTAAATTCAAGCTACTGAGAAACTATTCATGATAAGCTCAGACCCTTATCTAGACTAAACATTCTGAGTGACCAGGGCACATGAAGCCCTGGGCTAGGAAGATACTTCCTTGTAAAACTGAATTCCAACAATGATTAAATAATCATTGTTGGAATTCAGTTTTACAAGGAAGT